TGTCAACTAAATCAGGCGATATATTACTGAGGAATCAGCATGCACATGAATAAAAACAAAATGGCTGCCAATCGGCCATTTTTGTTCAAATCTTGAGAAAATATTACAGGCACTTGTAAAATCAGTTCTTGAATATGGTTAATTATATTTATTCCACATTCCTGCAACAGTCTCTTGTCTTTCAATGTGATAAAATTTTACATTGTAAAACAAAATGTACTTCCTCCTCAACTTCATTAGTTTCACATTTTCTGCATAGTTTGTTTTTAGCTTCAATTTTAAGTTTTCTCCTTCTTCCAAGTTCAGTTACTAGAGTTGTATTTCGTACTTGAAGTAATGACAGTAATTTTCCTAGATTGAAATTTTTAATTAAGTTCTTGTTTAAGTCCCATCATTACAACAGTTAATTACTTGTTCCTTCCATGTCTGGAAATATTCATAATTCTGTTTTAATTTTATGTATTTTAAAGTTGTGCTATAGTTGTTTTTGTTTCTATATTGAAAAAGTCATTCTGTCACAGGTTTTCTTTAATATTCAGGTCGTTCTTCATTTAGAATTATTTCCCTATGAATTCTGTTAATGCTCCTTTTAATATACTGTTATAAATTTATACTAAAAATGAACAGACACAAGACGACCTCAAGACTTGAAATTCATTATTTATTTATCTGAATAACAATGTATTACAAAAATATTGAGTGTCTTTGAAATATTTAAAAATACAATAAGGCCTCACAAAAATCTGGCAAAATTGTTTTTTCAAAAATGGGGTAGTGAGGTGATCATTAAAAATATATCCACGCACAAATTTTACAAGTTTAAGGGTGCTCTGCAGGGACGATGTAAATGAAGATCGATCAGACTTTTTTTTGGTGGTGTGCACACTGACCAAAAACATTATTTATTTTGGTTGGGCTAAGCAACACATGTACCTATATTGGATTTGGATAGACAAATACGGTACATTATTAGGGCTATCCAGTGTATCTGAAATCATCTACTGTAAAACACTTTATTTTTCGCTATTTTCGCTTGAAGAAATGATTCAGTGAAAGAAAAATCAAGCGAATATACCTTTTTTCCTATATTTTACATTCATCTTGTCAAAAATCAGCAGTAAAAATAAATTCCATACAAAACATCCAAAATGTCTTTTCAGAGCAACTTAATTGCAACTAAAATAAATGAATTTACAGTATACAATGGGTAGTGCATTATTACACTATACTGTATCATTTCTGTCATGTAAAATCACTGAATGAATAATAAAAGAAAATATATTTTGATTATGCTACGATGTTCAGAGCAGTATTGTGAATGATAGATCAAGGTGGATGGGTCATTTTTTATGGTATCTATAATAGAAACACACACTACATGATATGTGATTGTCAAGAGAGAGTGCAGGATTTAGTGGGCGGTACCACCACTTTAAACCAATCAGGTCTTCTAGTTTGTATTTGCTAATCCAGTCTTCACAAAAACTTGTAAGGTTTATAATAGTCCAGATTCACGAAAAAGACAATATTATTGTTAAAAAAGTCTCTGGTGGTACTTTGATCAATACATATCTTTTTTTATTAACTGTGATGCTGAATAGCCATTCATTCATCTTTCTTTTTCGGCTGAAAAATAAAAAAAAATAACTAGTGATAACCAAAATCAAGAAATGACAAAAAACTGACATGCATCATAATGACCATACCGACTTTGAAATTTACATTTATTGAAATCCCAAAATAAGAGAACATGCAACATGTAACAGAATCTGTGATGTGAAAGTGTATCTGAGAAACAGAAGTAAAATAAACAAAATGGATATAGTCCGACATTATGAATAAAATCACAAAACAAAATGACCTGCAACAGCAATGCACTACGAGTGATGTCAATCCCTTGATTGAATGAAATCGGCCCAGGTACAATATGAAAAACTATTGGTTACATTTTGCATGCATGTGTGATGTTAAGCCAAGTTTGAATAAAACAGCCATTATGTCTTGCATTTGTGAAAAATTTAAACCAAATCTGTACAAGTTCATCTGAGAAATGGATAAAACACTTGCTAAAAAAAAATCAAATCGTGAAACAAAATATGGTGCATCAGTAACCCACCATATCAATGTCAAGTTTAAATTAAAATGATCAAGGCAAGCCTTAGATAATGGCAGGTGTTCAAATGTGGATTTTTGGTGTTTTTCAAAACTAAACCGGTCAAAGGTGAAAAAAATGAGAAACAAATCAATGTGCAAATTTCTCCTAGTACAACCTATATTTGCACCAGCTTTGAGAAAACCCAGTCCTGTCATGTCTGAGAAATCATGTTGGACGTACAAATGCATGCATGGACATTTTGGACTATATCAGATCGGTCTAATAAAGAACATCACCATTGATTATAATACCCAAAAAGACTAATTTTCTGGTCGATTTGGATTCCATGATAAAAAAATTATTTTTCCTTTTATTAATTTCCCATCAAAATGGAAAACTTTTGACAACTCATCTGAGTAGACATTTGGCACTTTGTATGTACCAGTATAGTCATTTGTAATTGTAAGACACCAAAACGAACATTTTAAAAGCATCTAAACTGTCTACCAAAACACCAAATAAATATACTGACTTATCAATATACTGAACTTATTAGCTTCTGATTTTAAAAAACAACAACATCACTCACTTACCGTATTGTCCTTCAGTGACTTTATCCGACGTTTTGCGTATATGGCAAGGAAAAACCTTAATCAAACAAGAAATAATATGAATACGAGTTACAAAATGAAGCTGTATTATTTGTCTAAATCTATTAACAAATTTGACAAGGACCCATAGTCAATGAATAATTGTGTTTATTTAGGCCAAAATTATGAAAGAAATGTTATGAAAATATACAATAATTTTACTAAAATTTGATGAGAAAAAAGGAAAATAATAGTGTTAAATCACAGTCCCTCTAGTGATAGATGGACTGTGGTTAAACACATATCATATAGAGAAGTGCCACCACAGCAAAACATTATAACCTCAAACAGTTAGTACATATAAGTGTAACTGGATAAACAATTCAGGAGTACCATATTTATTCTAATAAAAGCGCATCTCTAAAAGAAGCACATATGGACCCAAAATCACAGTTGTTGTATATTGAATCCTTAAAAAATTACTTATTTTGAACATAGAAAAAACCTTTATAATTTAGATAAGACTATGTGGTACTAATAGAGCAAATATGGTACACTAGTAAACATTTACTATGTATATATGTAAATGATTTATCTGCTTACCTGCATGTTGTTGGCATATACTGTGCCATATAGGCTGTTAACAAGATGGGATTCTTAGCAATCCACACTTCATGGAGTTGGTAAGCAATGGCAATAACCATCAACTCTGCACAACGCACTGTAGACATTCTGTTTGGATACTGCATTGCAGCTTCCATGTTCCCAGATATCAAGCCCTATACAGACACGTACAGGATGAAAATTTCTGTTCATCTTGTGTAAATGAGCTATTTGAAAATGTGAACTCAAAAACTCATTTTTATGAATAAAATTCTTTAAAAAGCATCTACTCGAAAGTAACAGTAACAGTAACTCACTATGTGTCAGCACTGGCACTTGCAATTTGCACATACAAAAAAAAAGTCAGGAGAGAGAACACTGACACTCAATTGTCCTGAACTGTCACCTGGTTTTGGAAGGGGGTGCAAAAGGATCTCTTTCCCACTTACCTTGTCCAAGCTGGTTGTCAGAGCATTTTCAACAACTTTGGACACCACAGGACCAGGAAGGATAGTAGTTAAAGTAATATTATCACTGGCAAGCTCCAGTCTTAAACTGTTAAAATATCCCTACATGATGAACAAAACAATTCAGTCACATATTATTAAATAATTCAGAAAACAATCTTTATATTGTAATATATTGAGCCTGAACATATCGGTATTAATGTTTCCAAAATTATATATGCAGTGCTACATTGATTGTGACAATATCCAACTTTAAGAATGTTTTGTGTGCAAATAATTCAAATGTCAATATTTCATAGAAATCAGAGAATCGGGCAAGATGTATATAAGGGTTCACTAATAATATTTATGGGGAAGGGCTTTCAACACAAGAAAAACACATATAAAATAACATATGCATCAAGGGAGAAAAACAATCTGCAGACCCCATCCCTAATTTATGCATTTTACCTGCACAGCATGCTTTGCTGCTGAATATGCAGTCTGTAGTGGAGCGGGAACTATCCCTGCCAAACTACTTGTAACAACCACATGTCCAGATTTTCTTGATACCATATATGGCAAAACTGATTTAGTTAGTGATATAGTACCCAGTATATTTATGTCGAATATAGCTTTGTCTACTTCAAATGATGCCTCCATGGCTAAGGAACGTTGACTACGACCGGCGTTGTTCACCAAAATATCAATCTGAAACATGTTAAGAATAAATCAGTATTATGAAATTGAATCCCATATGTTACAGATATGTACTAAACATTTTTTTTTATAATTATGCAGTCTTTCCAGATTTAGTATAAATCAAGAGTAAATTTTTTGGGGAATTTAGCAAGTTAGAGAAAACCATGAAATTTTGTTTTAAAATGTTTATACTTGATGACCAATTTTGTTATTGTGCTTTTTTGACTACCGGTAATCTGACTATTGGTATCACCATTTTTGAACCATTTCAGTCTCGCAAATCTACTACGTACTCAAATTTCTTACTTGTTTAAATTGGCTGATAACTTTCTCTGTAGCGTCTTTGTGCGTGTCACATTCTGCAATATCAAGAGGCAATACCATTACATCATCTTGATGTATGCCACCTTTTTTCAAAATTTCATCTTTCACTCTCTGCAGCTCATTTTTTCTCCTAGCCGATAAAACCAATTTACAACCTGTTTTCGCGAGCTGGTAGGCGAGTTCTTCACCAATACCACTTGATGCACCAGTCACCCAGATTACCTGGTTCCTGAAGTCTTCTGTGGTGAAACAGTCAAGAAAAAAAAACATTCCAATTCAATTTTATTTATTTTGGAAATTAGGAAGAACATACTAGTAGCTTATTGCTAGTGAAGGTGTAGATAATTAAAAGTTTTAAAGATTCATGATTTGTTAATAGATGGTTTTATCAAATAAATTACAAAGATGAAATTAAACAATGTCATGGAAACAGTGACTTTGTGATTTCTCCCATGTTGTTACCTTGGCAGCACTTTTGAATTAAAACTTGGCAAAAATACATATGATTGAGGTTCATAATTGAAAACAATGTTCAGTATTCAAAGTTGTTTTTATGAATTGAGCAAAAAACAACATCCATTGTAATCTGAAATAAGTGTATATTCTGAAATGAAACATTAAGGATACAGATGGATAAATTTCTAGCACCCTTCACCACTCCTGACAAATACAGAAATGTTTTTTTTTAACCAATGCTGGATATGAACCACCCTACTGTCACCAGCATGTCATAGTGATAACCTTGCAGTGACAGGCAATACCAACAGTCGTCTTGTGAGCATGTAAGATTACCGGCATATAGGTATCCTCTGCCACCAGCATTATACTCATCAGTTGTGAGAGCCACAAACCCATATCCCACATTTGCATCCGCACACACACAGCTGCATCACTATGTATACCATTCAGACAGAATCAAAATATTACCTCCTTTCTTGCTTCCAACTTTTTCAAAAAACCTTAGAGTAAGGTCAGCATCTGACAGTAAACAAGCAATAACAAATACGAGGATTAAGATGCCAACCAACCAACCAAATGTTTCCATCCAATTCATGGTGATTCTGCAATATAAATTATTAATAGCTTAAAATGATTTGTTTGTTTGTTTGTCTGTAAGCAGGATAACTAAATAAGTTGTAGATAGATTGTCATGAAATTTTCATTGACAACAAGATGAATCCATTAAATTTTGGTGGGGTCTGATTGCCATGGAAACAGCAATTTCGTGAATGATTTTCAATTAAAATTCAAAAAGTTATACATGGATGCTCATGACATTTTCAGGAAGGGCTGCCCTTCAAAACAAGAACCAATTGATTGGATTTTGATAGAGATGTAAATCTGGTTGTCAAGAAAAAAGCAATTTTGGGAATGAATCCAAAAGTTCCAGATGAATTCTCATGACAATTTCAGGTGTTAAAAACAAGTACTAATTGGTTAGAGATGCGGGTTGGTTGCCATGGAAACAACAATTTTGGCAATTATTTTTCATTTACAACTGAAAATCAAAAACAAGAATGTCATATGGCCGCGGTACAACCTCAGGCCACAAAAGCTGTATCAAATCCATAATGACTAATAGGTAATGGTTATTACCAAATATTTTTTATAACCAATGAAAGCATATTCTTTGGATTTGAATGAAGCTTGAGAGTCTTCCAGCATAAATGTTACATAAATATTTACTAAATTTCCAGAAAAAACATTTCACATGTTTTCAATAAACTATAAGTATCAATGATTTTTAGTGTAAAGGCATGTAACTTTCAATGAAGGCAGAAAGCTGGGGACGTTAAAAACAATTTATATATTTTACAATAAATCAAAATGACCAATCTAGAAATGGTATCATAAAACAATCCCGAGTTATAATTAATATTGATGAGTTTGTTCAACACCAACCAATCAGTAAACACTTTTACATTTTTAATTAAGTGGGCAGTTACTACTAACGTATATGTAACATGAAGGCTTGCACATTCATTATGGGCATAGAGAATGTAGGGTTCTCTAGCCAATAATAAATAATAAATATCTGAATTTGAATGAAAGCTGATGATCAGCATTCACAAATTTATTAACCTTTTCACCACCAGATTTTCTCTTATTTTTGTCCCAATCTTCTGAAGGAAAGTGCAGACTGTGGGAACTGGTGGTGAAAAGGTTTAACATGTTTATTAACTCAGATATCACTCTCTGCCTTTCACTGTATGCATTGATACTATTTATAACAATGCACGGGTAAGTATACAGTATATCTATATATATATTGACTACAGTCTTGGTTACTATAAAAATATTAATATCAGCTACCATGACAAATGAACATTCTGGGGTATAAGGGAACAATGTCTACACAACATAATGTAATTAAACCTTGCCTGTTGAGAATGATATTAAATAATACAAACTTCCTGATGGAAACAAAATAATGATGTACTCGCCACCAGGTTCGATCCTTTCTTAGCATGGCAAAACAGAAAATAAAAGTCATGAAATAATGCAATATAATGTACATGTAAAATACTGGCTAACATTTAGGTGGGAACAATTCTGACCAAAAATGAACATGAAGAAATCATAATTACATAAAAAACAAATAAATATTCATGTTTCTCAATTAATACAATGGTACATGTGCTTTTGAATATGAATAGTATAGAATAATATGAAAAAAAGGTTTTGCTTTTCGTCCTAGGGGAAATTAAAAAATGGTGCGGTGATGCAGTTTTAAATTTTGTTTTGTATTAAGATGATTCAATAACAACAAGAATAGATATATGTTCAATGTTTAACATTCATTAAATAATGCATTTGAATACATGTCATGATTGATTTGGGAACTTCCACTGAAACAGAAAACAAAACATTTTGCCATTCTACCACATATGGCACAATTTACAGGTACGCAAAATTGACAAAAATATGCAAGTTTCAAACTGGCGCATGTGATGACAAAAAGAAAATTCTATTTTATTTTTGGCCTAACATGAATATAAGTTTCTAAAAATAGTATAGCGTTTTGGTGGAAAATGTAATTGTAAATATTTTGCAGCAAAAATTATTTATACTACCAGAGGTACATTATTGTAATGTATCTCTGATACTACCTAATAAAAATAAATTGTTAATACATTAAAAAATTCAAGGAAATTCATGGAAAAAGTCACGGTATGTCTGTGACTGTTTTACCGTGCACTTAGCTGCTGTTAAACCCACAGCGAAACTACAGGCGAGCGAAACCAAGCGAGCTACAGAACTGCAGCTACCGTGCACCCTGTACTCATCAAAGCCAATGTCCGCTTCTCAGCTAGCTTGCCGAGACATCGGAGCTGCACCTTAATAGTTGAACCACAGTCCCTCAAAACACGTCATTTATTGTCGTAGTAATCTAATACCTGTATGCACGAACAAGGATATCACTCCTTCTTTTATCCAGTACACCTTGGATCAACAAACAACCATAAAAAACAGCAATTTTGATCTTTTAACCTTACTTGTGAACTTTGACCTAACTATTGTCACATGACAAATACAAAATGGTTGACTAAGGAAGTACGAAGCGAGGAAAAAGTTTCCAGTAGAATTTTGTTTTTTTGTACAATTGTCGAAGCCCAATAGGAACCAGTGATGGATGATAGAGGAGGTAAGTCTTAAACCTTTGTATGAAATGGACTAATTTTGCATTTGTTATTTGTATTCAGATAATATGACTGCGATGATTTTCGAAGATGTACTGTCAGTGCTGGTACAAAATTGATATACAAGCACCAGTTTCGGTTTCAAAACATCATGTGATGTTTACGGTGTTAACAAAATTGAGTAATAACGAAGACTTTTGGTTGAAATTAACTACATGTGCATTCTTTGAAAAGAAAACAATTACACTGTCATTTCATATATCTTATTTTCTCTATAATACCCCATGATATTTATTTATTTATTTATTTGTTGCTACCCTTTTAAAGAAGGGGCTGAATTTTACATTACAATCTACTTATAGTGTAAAAATTCTTTCATAAGTTTGTCTATGGTGTAACATATTTCTTTGTGGTAACCTAGAGTGGTATCTCCCAGAAGGAAGCAAAATAACTCTTCGTTATTCAATTGCTGGAAGTTATCAGATAAATTTGTTTCTTTCATCTTCAATAACATTTCTTTTATTTCACACATTAAGTTGTCCTTTTTTATTTTAAAACTTGGACATTGCAAAATAAAATGTTTGAGAGTTTCTTCGTCTTTTTCACAACATGGACAAATTATGTCATCTTCACTATTATTTTCCCATTTTCTTTTTTCATATGCTAACCCAAGAGTACATGATCTTGCTCTGAATTTTAACTGTGCTCCTTTAAAGTTATTTATTGACTGAAGATATATCATACCAGTTCCCTGTATAAACTGAATATCACAAAATACGCCAGTAATCTTGTGTTGTTAGTTCTTTGCTAAATAAGTTTTTTCTTTGTCTTGTATCACCTGAATGAAAGGTTGAACACAGGGAGATCTCCCGAACAAGCCCGGGTTTCCGCTTAAACTAAAGTTTGTGATTTTATAAATATTTATATAGTTTTTAAAAATATTTTTTCTTCTTCTGTAATTCCTTCCTGCTGAATTTTTGATGAAATAAATGTTGTGGTAATTTCAATAGGTAATGGGATTGAATAAGGTCTTCTTTTGGCATAGATTGAACAGTGTAGTTGGTCTGAGAATTGTTTAGTGATTCTATACACTGGTGGGTATGCACAATGTTGAACCAGTAACATTTACAAAAATAGAGCTCTTAGACAGTAGATATGCTTGACAAAAATATTTCAGAACTTGAGATACAAATCGAAATAAATAAGCAGAAAGCTGGAAAAAGCCCAGGTCTGGATAAAATTAAAAACGAAATGCTGAAAACAGGCAGACATATTTTAATAAAGCCTTTACAAAAATTATTCAATCTTATTTTATCTAGTGGCAAGTATCTGGAATACAGGTATCATTAAACCCATCTATAAAAAAGGTGACAAAACAGACCCTAGCAACTACAGGGGAATCACCCTTCTGAGCACATTAAGTAAATTATTCACATCAATTCTAAAACAACGTCTAACCAAATATATACAGAACAATAAAATAATAATTAAAGAACAAATTGGGTTCATGCCAAAATTTGGAACAAGAGATCACATATTTGTATTTAAACAACTGGTCACAAAATATCTTAACAACAGAAATACATTTTTGCATGTTTATTGACTTCAAAAAAGCATTTGACTCAGTGTGGTACCCTGGACTAATTAATAAAAAATGATATCACAGGAAAATTTTACCCAAATAATTATTAGTATTTACCAAAATTCACTTGCATGCGTGAAAACAAAAAATGGCTTAACAAAAACATTTCCAGTAGAAAGAGGCATAAGGCAGGGGGATGGCCTAAGCCCACTCTTATTTAATATATACGTAAATGACATTAAAGAACATATAAACATGGGGGAGAACAATCTGCCATCTTTGCGAAATAATACACTGCCATGTTTACTATACGCAGATGACTTAATTCTACTATCAGAAAGCAGCTCAGATTTGCAGAATGCACTAAACGGTCTTCAAATTTACTGCAAAAAATGGAAATTAAGCATTAATATTAATAAATCAAAAACCATGATACATGTATTCAACAAAAGTGGCAAACACATTAAAACCAAAATTTTCACGTAGATGGTGTAGAATTAGAAAGAGTGTCAACATACACTTATCTTGGAATTAAATTGAAAACAAATGGTAAATTTGACTTGGCTCATGAAGATCTTAATAATAGAGCTATGAAAGCATGCTTCAAAATGAAACAATTATTATATATACCAATACATATATACCAATAAAAACATATCTTAAAATGTTTGATACCATGATAAAACCAATACTTTTATACTGTGCAGAAATCTGGTCAGATATTTATAATTGAACACCAAAAGATGGATATGAATATCATGTCACCAATGGAACAATTACACGTGAAATACTGCAAATACCTACTCAAAGTTAACAGCAAAGCGACCAATGTGGCATGTCTTTTAGAATTAGGAGGGTATCCATTAATTACATCAGGTATAAAACAGATGATCAAATACTGGTCTCGAATAAAAAAAAATGCCTCAAAATTCTCTGGTTTATGAAACATACAGCTTAGAACTAGACAACTCCGGCACCTACAACTGGGTTTCCGGTTTAAAACTAATACTTAAAGATCTAGATATAGACCATTTGTGACAGGAAGAAAAAAATGCGAACAATATAATTATAGATAAAATAATATCAGAAAAACTAAAAACTAAATTTTAAAAAAAATTGTAAACAGATTTTAGACAATGATAACAAAGGGAAAAATCACAAAAATAAATTGCGCACTTTACAGAGAACTGAAAACAGACCTTGGCTTTGAAAACTACTTACATGTAGTCAATGACAAAATTGAGGATTAGTGCTCACAGACTACAAATAGAGACTGGGAGATATAATAACACAGATATATCTGACAGAAAATGTCTATGTTGTGAAAATAACGCCATAGAGAATGAAGAACATTTTCTTTTAGCATGTGATCTCTACGCGGGAGAAAGAAAAAAACTTTATCAGCTGTTGTCACCCCCACATTCAGCAAAAAATAAAGGAAAACTAAAATATATTTTAAAGTGTAAATTGCAAGTGCCTGTATACAAATAAAATTTACAGAAAAAATATACATTATAAGCAGAGACGTTTTTTCCTTAAGTTTATATGACATTCGGAAAGAAATTACTTTCGAGATATTGCCGAAAACCGGCTCTTTGTGAGTATTTTCCGAAGAATTCCGAACGCGTTTCAAGACTAGGTCATCGAACTTTCAACGCGTCGTGACGTCACAAGGAGAAGTTCTCTAGTTGAAACATGGCGGAACATTCAGATGTAAGCAGCGCTGCTACCGATGATTACGACATTTCAGATAATTCGTTAACTTTGTTTGATACGTCTACGATCATAAGGCCGTACATGTATGAGCCGATGGCAGAAGTCAACGTTCAGGACGATCGTCGAAGAAACCTCGAGTACTCGACTCGATAATTTAGATTGGTACGTAACGAAACCGGTGAATTCCACCGCATGCTTTGATTTCTAGATTAATCAAAATTGATTATAAAGTTTTTATGGCAGATATGGCTGGGTGCCTTTTTTCTTAGATCGCCACAACTAGCTGAGCACCTAACGTTTTCATTTACGAAAATTAAACTGAACGTTGAGATGCCTTGTAGTGAAACCAAATGCTACGATCTCAGAGCTATGCTATTTTAGTATTTATCGCTTCTAAAACATTGTTCACTATTCATGTGTCTCGAAATCATGAATTTTATTTGAAGTTGAATCGTTCATTTTGTCAACACTAATCACTGATAAATATAACAAGTCATGTTTGGGTACTCCTAGCGTTATACCACAGTCCCTCTATCACTGATTATACGCGTGCAATGTACATGTGTTATTGTACCAATTCTATTCATTTTTTTCCTTCATGCATTTGGAATCTAATCTTGCCTGCTTAATAAACAGGGAATAACTCGTGAAATTCGACAAAAAACTATTAGCACGATACCTTCAAATACTTTATTTGCTTAAAGTAATATTGAATTTTGTAATTTGTCAACCATTATACAAAAAAAAATGTATATTGTCATTAGCTACAATACCTATGAAATACAATCACTGTAATACATGTATACGCCCCCCTTTTCTTGATAATTGTTAAAAATCAACAAACGAACGAA